TTTGAGTGTTATATATGCTGTTTTATGTTTTGTCGCCCTATAAGGGCATAGTTGTTTTTGTACTGTTCTATTATTTTAGTATAAATAATAAGTGAAGGGGGCGGCCAGATTATTGCTCTCTTTTCTTTTCAACTTCTCTTTTTCTCTTCTTCTCCTTCTCTCTTCCTTCTCTCTTCAAGAAACTACTTTCCTTCATATATATATTTTTTTAATTCAGCAGATTCCTATTAAAACAAAAATCCAACACCATCAAGTAATATGAATTAAATACATATGAAGCAACCTTTTCGAAACTAGAACCATGGTGACTCACAATTACAGGGTAACCTGCCCTTGAAGCTTGTTAACATATGACATAATGTTCCAGTTTCTTTAGGCTCAGTTTATTTTAGTACAATAAGTGAAGAAAATTTTCTGGTTTGAATTCATGTTCCTTTTGTGACCAAAACAAACCACTCTAGAAAAGGATAAACCTTTATTACAACAGCTTAAATAGATGATACAACATTTGCTGTTAAAAAGAACAAAATGGTGTTACGAAAATGGGGATACATGAAAAGTTGAGATTCTTGAATAGGAAGAGATGACAAGCCTCCATTAAGTTTGGTGGATTCAATTACACCAATTGTTGAAATGAAAAAGGATGGCTGAGAAAGAACTTCAAAAACATCAGAGTTTTGAGCAGGAGGCAGCAAAGGCAGATACCATTACAGGTTATCAAATGGTATGTGTCAAGAAAAATTGCAAAACAAGAGTTTTACTACTTAAAGAACTCTTTCCACCTTGGAATGATGAAATCAAAATCTAAATAAATATCAATACCCTAGCCTCCGTAAAACCCGCTTCCGTGCCTTCAATTCATCCTTAAAAGCCAATGCTGTGGAAGAACGCATTGTTCTCCTTATTGACTTTATCTTGGCTGTTAAATCTTGCTTTTTTTGTAAGACTTTGAGCTTTTCCTCAATAAGTGGAGACTTAGCAACTTCATGTTTGACAAACAAGCTCTCCAAAGCCTCTATCCGACGCATAGCCTTTTTGTACGAGTTACTTTGAACCTGATGAATATGCAAAAACCGGATATAACCAATTAAACAAATGAAAGCATAAATACAAGATGATTTAAAGAAAATTCAACATAACAAACCTTCATGTCCTCTTCAGGGTCCAGGAGAGGCATCCCTTCTTTAGAAAATCGGGAAAGCACTTCTAAAATCTTCTTTATAGTATTCTCTCGAGCTTGCAATGGCAAAAGATCCTTTGCTATGATAAGGCGAATACTACTCAAACTATCAATCTGTTTGTCAAGAAAAATAGTAAACAATTTTTTAGTAAGAATATTCTAGCTTGTCAGAATATTCAAAGGTATGTACTTAAACAAAAAAATAAAACTTTGAATGTTCAACACGAAAAGGAATATGCTAAATAAACAGTAAAGCTCAATGATCTTGGTCAATTTGCACTATTTGACATATTCATTGTGGCAGATGTACTAGAGTTGGGCCATTGTCTGGCATGCAAACATTAGAAAATAGGCTCAAGTCTTAAAGCATGAACACTGTGCAGAAACTACCAAAAGTTGTGACCAACATTGGACCAACTAAAGTTTTAAAGGCTCAACATTCCCAATTTGTTCAAGCCACAGCATATTAATAGATTCCTCTCTCCAAAAAAAATAAATAAAGAACTTTCAATTTCTTCAAGGAACTAATGAAAAAACAGTTATCCAACTGTCAAGTGACCAGTAAGTCAAGGGACAGACAGACTGCATTACCAGTAGGTCGGTATACTCATGATGAAGTCACCTAGGACATATCATCAACTAGGTTGACTAGTTAGTTAACGGCTATTCAACCAAATCAACCACAAAGTCCTTTCAAAGCTTTGTTTGTATGTTTGTTTGTAGCTCTAACTATTTGAAATAAAATAGAATGTGTTTGCATTTTGTTATATTCACACTGTTGCTTCAAGTATTTGTGATGGAACATGAATGGATGGTGACATATAAAATGGATAAAAAAGAATAATAAAATAAGGCAGCAATGGAATCCTTTCAAGTTATCATCTAATTATTGGTGTTCAGTGTGGAATTGCTATAAACAAAGGGCAAGTCGATTAGTTAAAGTTGCACTTTTCTTAGGAAAACAAAAGTTGTGATTCTCTATCCTAGCCTAACTTTTTCTTTGTTTGCAAAACAAAGATTATAACCTAAATTATCAATACCATTCTTTAGAAAAGGAATCCTTTTAAGTTTATATCTAAATACTGGTGCTTTGGTATGGAATTACCACAAACAAAGGGCGTATCGATTAGTTAAGGATGCACATTTCTTTGGAAAATAAAGGCTGTGATTTCAATTCAATGCCTTGGTGAAAGTTTTACATTCAGGGAGAGAGTATTATGATGGAAACTCAGGTGTTTTTCAAACCTTCTTGAAAGAACAGAGGAAAGATTTTTTCAAACCTTCTTGGAACTTTCTCTTGTGCTTCTTTCTTCAAGTCCATCTCTCAACTTTCTTCTCACCAACCCTTTCCGTCAAAAGAAATTTGGTGCAGACCAGTTCCCCAAAAAATTATGACGTTTTGTTGGGAAGTATTCCATGGGAAAGTAAACACTTTAGACAACCTACAAAAGAGAAGACCTTTTCTCTATATTTCTCCTAATTGGTGTATCCTCTGTAGAGCTCACGGTGAGGATTGTTACCACCTATTAATATCTTGTCTCTTTTCTGCAGACCTTTGGGCTTGGCTACTTTCGTTGTTTGGGAGTAGTTGGAATCTACCAGCAGAAGTTCACATG